CAGGCTGGAGTGTGGTGATGCAATCTCCGCTCACGGCAACCTCCGCCTTCCGGGTTCAAGTAATTCTCCTGCCTCAGCCTCCCGAGTAGCTGGGATTACAGGCATGTGTCACCATGCCTGGCTAATTTTTGTCTTTTTAGTACAAGTGGGGTTTCACCATGATGTCCAGGCTGGCCTCAAACTCCTGACCTCAGGTGATCTGCCTGCCTCAGCCTCCCAAAGTGCTGGGATTACAACCGTGAGCCACTGTGCCCGGCCCCAGGCTTTATGAGACTTCCTTAATAAGTGAGGGTCTTTTTTACTTTGAAATAAACTGTCCTGATAGTTAATTACTTGTTTCGGCTGTGACTGCTACCCAGAGACCAATGGGGGTTGGGGAAAGGATGACCAGGCTGGGTGTAGGAGAGAATTTTCTAGATTAATAATGTTATGCAGAAGTTGAGGTCCCTTTAAGACTCCAGGCCAGCTCCTGTGTTAGAGTCCCACATGCTGCTCACAGCAACCCTAACAGAGAACCAGAACCACATGCAGGCACATATGGCATCGGTGTGCCGAAGAATGCTGGCCTCAGGGACAGGCACACACACCCGAGTTGGTGTGAACCAACCAATCCCAATGTCATTGACCTGGCTCTAAAGAGGAAGAGCTTTTTATATTTGTTTCCAAATGGTGAACCTAAGTTTAGTCATAGATTTAATTTCTCGGTGGCATTTAGCGTCTGGTAGCCTTGACATCGGTGAACGAGGTTCAAAATTTACTAACCCAGTTCTTGGTCTAGTGTTCCAGGCCAAGCCTAGCCAAAGGAATGGTGCTGGGGCACGGCCTCTGTTGCCCTCTTTGGGGTCCCAGCCTGTGTCTCAAGCCCACACGCTGTGGCTGGGAGAGGCTCACAGTCTCAGCTAATTGTGGAGAGGCCGCCGCCCGTCCAGATGGAAAAGGCCGGGCTGAGGCAGGGCTGCCTTTGTGCTGTGCTCGCAGACTGGCTGCTGGTGCCGGGGCTCTATTCATTATTCAATTCAGCTGGCTCGGGTGAGCCTTTCCATTTGCTCCTCCAGGAGGAATAACAAATCTAGAAATGCAATTCCACTTTGGTGTATTAAGATATTGATTTGCCTGTTGGGTGGAAGTGCATTTGTTCTGTCAGCCCTCCCGTGGGTAGGAAGGGGTTAACCAAATGTTTATCACAAGGCTGGCTTCAGAGTTGAAAGTAATGTGATCAGTAATGAATTTTGTGTTACATTAGGTTGTATAAATGGACAGACAAGCGCAGACAACAAGTGGCCAGGAGTCGGGGCTAATCTAATGATGTAAAAATAGAGACAGCACCAATTATACTAGGGGCCAGCTCCAGGCTCCTGCAGGGACTGCAAATGAATAGGTACAAATCAAATTACTCACTAATAGACGCACTACAAGAGGGGCAGTCAATGGTAAATGCATTAGAGCCTAGTGACCTCTCTGCTCTGCACAGCAGAGTCCGAAAATTTGACTTCCATCTTCAAAGTGGGGGGCAGGGAGTGGCGTTCTCAAAGAAACTCTTGTTGGGTGAAGGATGACAACCACTCCCCATCCCAAACCAGTCCCCGGCTAGAAAAGACCTCCCGCCTAAGCTGACCCCTACCGTCACTCGAGTGCTCCGGGGCCTGGGCATGAGGGGGTAGGAGAGCACCCTCCTGAAGGACAGAAGCAGCAGTGGGACAAACCCTTCCATGTAGGCAAAGATGGGACGTTACATACCAAAACACTTCACAGCCATGTGTCTCTCGGGGGGAAAGGTTTTTACTGCTACGTCAAGGGCTGTGTCTGTATTGAAAATAAAATATTCCTTTAAAGAGGATCACAAACTAGACCTTTAAGAGAGCAGGAAGAGCTGAGATCAAAGTGAGTCGATACCCAAATCTGGTCTGACCACTGAGAGCTTCGCGGGGGTGTTCATGGTCTGTTCCCAGGCACAGCACGCCTAGGGTTTTACAGATTTCTCACTAGCCGAAACTGGTCTCATCCTTCCCTCTCCCCCTCCGCCCCAGTCCAGCTGACTGAGTTCCTACACTCCTGCCTGCTGCACAGGGCTGGGGTGGGGAAGGACGTGGAGAGAAAGTCAGGATCTTGGGTAACCCCTCAGATTTTCTTCCTATTCTCAGCTTCCGTGGATTTAGAAACCAGGTCTGAAGTTCAAAGCTGCTTGGCAGTGTGTGCTTAGGGAGAGGTCACCAAGACCAGCTCGAGGGCCCTAACTGCACACTCCCATTCAGCTCTCAGTGGTCGGGGATGGATAATGCACGAAACCAAGAAACTCCAGGCCTTCCAAGGACCCAGCCCAGGCTCACACTCCTCCAAAGCCCCCCTCGGGTCAGCACCAAACAGTCACACACAATGCTGTGGAGATGGCACGCTGGCGCTGGCCCAGTGGAGCCAGGAGATGATGGTAACATTCCAGGAAAAGTGAACACAGCGGGCATGGAATGGAAAAGTCATCCTGAACAAATGACACAGCTGGGTGGCGATTCTCCCCAGACTCCATGGAGGGCACAGAGGGGTAGAAATGCCAGCTAGTGGACTACACCCAGTAAAAAATATGTGGGCAATGGAGGAGGCTGCGGGGCCTGGTGCTGGGGATTTTGCCAGCAAATTTAAAAATGTCTTATGCAGTGGGCTGGCAGGTCCCTGGGGGCAGGAGTAGGGTAGGAGGGGAGTGGCAGGAAGAAATAAGCAAAAGACTGAGGCTGGAAAGCTGTTTCCGGTAAGGGTGCTCCAAAATGCCTTCTTTTACCAGGGGACTTGGCTTCTCTGTTAAGTCAGATTGGCATGGCTTGGCCTGGCCTTCTGGGCACAGGGCTCTCTATGGCTCCTGAGGGCTAAGACTCTGGATTCCTAAAGGGTCACAAGGTCATTGCCAGCTTTCATTTTCTGTGAGCAAGTGTGTCTCCCTCTCTCGGCAGCCACCACATCCAGGGGGTGGCCTGCAGGTCTCAGGCCATGTTTTGAGAAGGGAGAAGGGCAGAGGCAGGGGCAGAAGGGAAAGGTGGGTATTTAACCATCCATGACCACATTCAACTTTGTTCAGAATCTCACACCTCACAGAAAGGTCAGTGGTTAAAAGTCAATACTGTGGCAGAGGAGGAGGAGCAGGGAGAAATCCTCCCTGCTGTTAACCATTTACCTACGTTAATGCTTCCAGAGGAGATCCTGTGCTCTGGGGGTCCAACAGCCCTCCCCCAGCCCCTCAGTCCAAGCCTGTGCCTTTCCACAGTCATTCCTGCTTTCCTGCCGGGACAGCACCTGGAAAGGGGACTCTGAACGGTCACAGAGGTCACACTGGCACTTCCTCCTTGTTGATAGGAATCTACTGTGCTTTGGTGAAAGAGTTGAAGGGTGACTTTGGACAACTAAGAAATAAGCAGAGGAGATTCTCAGCCCCAAACTCCCACTGCAGCTCTGCCCCTGGTGGGGCCTCCGGTAGCCTTAGTGACAAAGGTGGGGGAACAATCTACCCAGAAGCAGATTTGGGACCTGGCCAGAAACTAACAGGTGCGACTTTTAATCAATCGTTATTCCCATTGCCTCGACTGGCTTTCATTCACCTCTCAGGGGCCACAGAAACCCATCCAGTCACTCAACAAACATTAACTGAGGCTCAGCCTGGCTCTCCTTCCAGTGCTGACTGCTGGGCAGGGAGAAGGCTGGTGGCTGGGGATAACAAAGCTGATTCAGACTCGGTTCAAAGAACCAGAAGTGGGTCAAGACACACTCATGGGAGTATGAGTGAGGGAGGGGCTGGAGGGACCACCAGGGTCAGCCCTCTTCCAATGGCAGAAGCAAGGGAACTGGTCAACAAGTTAATGGAAAAGGCAACATATATTACTTGCCCAGGGCCCAGTGTCCAGTGAGTGGGTGGTGCAGAAATTCAGAGACAGAGTGAGTTGCACACATTTGGCTTCATGGTCAGGGAAAGCAACACAGAAGGGGTGAGATTTGAGCTTGGCCTAAGACTGGGCAGAGTGGGAGGGCGGTGGTCTCCTGAGGGCTTACCAACGTGCGTCAGAGTCAGGTGAACAGGGTGCGTGCTGGGGAGGCTGGGATCCTACGTTGGTATGAAGGCAGAGGAGGTAGAACATGTGGAGGTGACTGCAGAAGGGGAGGTGGGACATCAGGCTGGAGGGGAAGGTGGGGAAGGCCTATAAGAGACCAGAAGCACGATGGCGAGGAGCCTGGGTGGTAATGCGCAGGCCTGGGCACTTTCTTTCTTTCTTTTTTTTTTTTCTGACAGAGAGTCTCGCTCTGTTGCCCAGGATGGAGTGCAGTGGCACAATCTCGGCTCACAGTAACCTCTGCCTCCCGGATTCAAGCAGTTCTCCTACCTCAACCTCCTGAGTAGCTGGGACTATAGGCACCCACCACCACGACCAGCTAATTTTTGTATTTTTAGCAGAGACGGGGTTTCACCATGTTGGTCAGGCTGGTCTCGAATTCCTGACCTCATGATTCGCCCACTTTGACCTCCCAAAATGCTGGGATTACAGGTGTGAGCCACCGTGAGGCCTGGGCACTTTCTGAGCAGGGAAGCGAGACGGCAGTCAGGGCAGGCTCTGCAAGCGATGGTCCCCTTCCTCCGCTGGATCCCTGCTCATTCTGAGTAAAAGGTGAGGGTGACTGATACGACTCCCACACTTCAGACCAGGTGAGACCAGCAGGATCTTCATAACTGAAACCTCTTCCCAGATATCTTACGTTAATCCCACATCTTTCAGTTATAACCTCACTTCATGTCTTTTGTTTCCTCCTTTGTACCTGGCAGTGCTGTGACAATTTGAGGACATTTGTGTGGCAGGCAGAGTCTGAGGCATACAAGTCCCTTGGGAGGCGTGGCCACTGCTCCCGTGGGGAGGAATAAATGAGAGAGACCGAGTGGTCCATACAGCAGCCAGAATATCAGAGGCCAGGACGCTACAGGAGGCCGGCGATGACTACATTTACTAGCTCCCCCTCCACTGTGTCAGAGAGGAAGAAGCTGAGCCCAGAGACAGAAAGGCACTTGCCCAGGGTCACAGGCTTCCCTCATTTCTTGATGAGGGCTTCAAATCCTATTGAAAAGGAAAGAAAAAAAACAAAAAACATTTTTCCCAATGGCAGGAGCTTGATGCTGGGAACTGAAAGGGCTCTCAGATTTGGCCTCTCCTGCCAATGGAAAATAGCTAGGAATAGGCAATCCGACACTGAACTGAGATACAAATAGCAACACCAACATCACCACCCCTGCAGAGGCCACTGGCTATCCCACAGTCTCGCTGGCGCAGCTGCTCCCTCTTGTCCTGAGCAGGGATGCTTGTCACCTGCTGGTGGGACTGGGCCCTCTATCTGGTGGCCCTGTGCCTCTGGGGACATTCTCTTCTCCCACCCTCAGCAATTAAGGCATTAGGTACTGGGGAGTTCTAGCTTTGCCTCTGCATTCTAGAGAGACCATGCCCCGTGGGCAGGGGAGCTCTCCTGACTTCCGCTTGGTCTAGCTCAGTTAGGGAGGCCCGGTGGGAAGCTGGGGTAGAAGTCAGAGAGAAACAGACCCATACTTCAGTACTGTGGCCTCCTCTGGTGCTTTCATCTCTCTGAGGGTAGGAACCATGTCCCTGATTCTTCCCCAGCCTATGGGGGAAGAAACTGGCAGATGCCGACAGAGAGCCTGCCTGCCCCAACCACAGAAAGAGCACATTGGGCCACTGATGAGGTCATTCAGAGAAGACACTGAAAGAATTTTTCTAGAAGGTGTAGGAGGAGGAAAACTCCAGGGCCCAATTAGGTGAGGCGGAGGAAAGGCCCTAGGTGCTGGCTAAGTTGCTTCGGTGACAGTATTTGCTGAGGAGCTTGGTGTTGCAGAGAGAGGGGCAATTTTAGGAGCAGTGGGCAATCAGGGATATTGCCCAGAGAAGCCTAGAGTCTTTGGCAAGACAGCCAGACCAAGCCAGAACTATAACTTGCACAGAGGAATCACCCTTGCCTTCTTGAGAAGGAGGCCCGGGAAATGAGATAGGTAAGCCTTGGAGGAAAAAATTAAAGACTGAAGGCTGAGTCTCATGGGCGGCCATGCTGGGCATCCTGCAGAAGAGAGAGAGTCTTACTTTCAGGAGGCCAAAAGACTGTGACCCTTCCTGGGTATCCAGGATAAACACCAGTTTGGCTGAGAGAATGGCTATAGGAAGAGGAGGGAAGATTCTATGGAAAGATCAAAGCAGCTTGGTGGCTGTGTGTGGCAGCGAAGCAGGGAATGTGAACTATGGGGCTATGGCCATGCTGGCCCTGTGAAGGCAGCATCTTCAGCTTACAAGACCTCCGGGTTTGCTTAGGACGGGGACAGGGTGGCTAACGCAGGACCCATAAAGGAGGCTCACCTTTCACTTAGAATCAGAAAATCTCAGGGCCCACACCACACACGTAAGTGTCACTTCTCCAGCTGCCTGGGGTAGCACTGCCAGTTCCTGTTTCTATGGCCTTGCAATGAGCTGGGTCAGTAGGGTGCATCTATTTACCCCTAGGGTTGGACTGGGTGAAGTTCTCTTCTCTGAATTGTGGATTTAAAAAATATGTTGGAGGCAGAAAATTCTAACCACCACCACATCTTCTGAAATGTCTGTCAAGTCCAGTGTGGTCAACTACTTTCTAGAGCAAACACTGACAAATCAATTATCTGCCTTTAAAATGGGACTGACCAGAGAGTAGGGATGGCTAAAAGATAAGATAACTGGCCTAGTGCAGTGGTTCATGCCTGTAATCCCAGCACTTTGGGAGGCCAAGGTGGGCAGATCACCTGAGGT